TAAGTGTCAATTTGAACCTAATTTTTTTTTTATGTTGTATTTTTACAAAATTGTTTTCAATAATTTCTAAAGCACGATTTATTATTTTATTTAAAGAAAATGATGGTGCCTTAAGTCCCCCATCTTGGTCAAAAGATGAATAATTTTTGTTTATTAAAAGAAGTTGTCTTTTTTCATTTAAATTTTTATCGGTAAATAAATTATTTTGACATTGGTGGCAATTAAATTTTTTATCACACTTGTAAGCAAGATACCCAGCAAAATAAGTAACCGAACAGTCTTCCAATGTAATTTTATTTGTTATAATCTCGTCTACAGGGCACAACTATTCAGTATTAAAGGAAATATTTGATTCAGTATCAGAAGACGTATCTAGTATAATATCAGTGTTGGTACATAATGGAGTTACTACGTCAAATTGTATAGTGTCATGGTCATCGGTTTCTTGGGGTGTTTCACAATTAGTTCCTGTCGAAGTACATATAGAAAAAATACAATTACTTCTAATGGAAGTTCTTATGGTTCGTGCTGTCGGATTTTTATTTACCCCCCTTTTTGCCGAAAAACACTGAATAAGTTTTCTAGGACATCCTGGTTAAGCCGATTTGTTATTAGAAATGCTATATTATTACTTTATTCCTCCTCAAAAAATTGTAAAATTGCGTTTATAGTTTGTGTAAATCCTTTAAAACTAGGTGGTTGGAAAATTTTTCCTTTTTTAATTTTTGTCAAATTTAAAAAGTATTTTGAAGCTTCTAATAAGAATGTTTTAACCGTTTCTGAATGATTTAATGCTGCATTATATTGATTATGACTGAAAAGTTACCTACTGTTTAAGCAATCAAATAAATTATTCATAAATTCGATGAAATCGGCAGTATCAAATGCAGTTTTACTGAGAAGTTGATTAGTTTCTGCACAAGTACGGATAGCTGAAGACATAGAATGACTGAAGACTTGGACGGTTAGCTTAACTCGCATTTTTTGGAAAGAAGTTGGGTGAATGTGTGAATCTGTAATATTAATCAGTGCTTTACTTTATATTTTTGAAAACATGCCTCAATAAAATTGTTATGTACACTTTTTAATAAATGCGGAACATCATATAAATTAAATATTTTATGGTCATTTACAAAAAAAAAAAAAATGGAGTTTCTTCAGAAATATTTAATAGTTTTAATGCACTTTGATTGGATGTGCTTTGATCGCATACAATAAGTTTTGAGCACAAGCCAACATCAAATAATTTTTTTATAATATCAATTATTAATTCTTTTAGAATATTTTTGTTTACACCGGAATGTGCAAGATAATACGTGATAGGAAATTTCCATTGAGTATATATACCACGAGCCATAAATACCAAAACGCAGTTAGCACTCTTATCTATCCTACCATAAGTCCCTAAGTCTTGAAATCCTTTGATAAAATCATAATTTTTTGAATACTCTAAGAATTCTTTTATGTACATCTCGTCAAAACAAACTGTACATGCTTTTTCTTTGTAAGATTTGTGCTGAAACTTCTTTTCAACATGACTAAAAATATATTATTGACACCAGGTAAAAATTTTGTTTGGCCAATCCAGCGTCTAATGGTTGAAGGAGCGGGCAAATTTACTTTTTGCAATCTTAAAAAGTTATACGCAGTAGGTGATTTATAAAATAAATTTAAAGATAGTTTTTTTTTCATTATTTGTCCATGTACGACGTTTATTTTTTAACCTTTTCCCTGCCAAGCACTTTAAAATTATTTACCACTGCCAGGCCAAGCTTTTTTTTTTTTTGAATTTTCATTTTTTTTTTATTATATCTAATGAATTCCTTGAATCAATAATAATCAGCAAAAAAAAAAATTAATTAGTTAATTTCCTAATTAGTTGTAAGTTTTTTTTAATTGATCAGTCATTGGTTCTTAACATTTATCGTTAATAATAATTGGTAATTAATAACACATATATTATAAATTGCAAAAATTAATTATTTTATAAAACATAACAACTGATAACAATATTTTGGGAAACCTGGGACATTAAAAAATATTAAATTGCATGTAACTTCTTTGATAAGAACAGTACCATGTTTTTTTTTACGTAGTTTAATTCGTCTTTGAAAATACTACAATTTAGCAGTTATCAATTTTTCTATCAGATTATCTGATAACATTATAAACGAGTGAACGCACATATGCGTCAATGGCCTATCAATGTAAATTGTCATTGACGCACATGTGCGTCAATGGCAGTGAAAGGGTTAATTGCATAGTTACCACAGCTTTCGAGTTACACGATGGAAATTTAAAAGCAGACATAAGATTATACAAATTATAACAAACTTTGTATTTAGAAAAAGATTTTTTTTTATTTTAAGATATGAGTATTTTTATTGTGTATTAATTTTGATTTTGTTTTAATTTAATTTTTCTGGGCGAGTCAAGTAGTATGTATTTGTATGTTCACAGCACTTTTGGGTAGGGAGATTTTTAAAGTTTAAGGGGGAATATCCCCCTTGAGCTCATTTTCGTCTCCGTGTAACACAAAAACAGTTAATTTATATTGGTTACACTGTAATTTTAATCTTGTGCTCAATTTTTTTTCGTTTAACACAAAAACAGTTTATTGGTCACACTACAATTTTAAATTTAAAGTTTTTTCAAACTTTAAAATTAATAATCTAATCTAGTTCAGTTTAGTTAGTGTTAAACCATCATTCGATCAAGACCTATTGCTTATTAAAAAGTTCTTTATTTTTACAAAAAAATGAATTTTCAAAATTTTAGCAACAATTTTTGTTCACTAGTTTCTTTAGTACGAAATAATGCATATCCTAAATACCCAGAATATATAACATTTTCTTCAAGATTGAAAACATTCAACTTATTCCCGTTAACTTCATCCGAAGATAAATACTCATTAGCTGAAAGCGGTTTTAAATATTCAGGGAAAAAAAGATATCGTCGAATGTTTTTGCTGTGGACTCATCTTACATAATTGGGAAAAAGATGATATTCCATGGATTAAACACACAAGATGGAATCCAAAGTGTATATACGTATTATTATCAAAAGGAATTCAGTTTGTTGAAAATATAATAAATAAGTACGACAAGATTAACGATGTATGCCAATGTGATTGTGAATTTAAGACATATGATACTGTAATTTAATATTTTTTTCTATTAATATTATTTTTTTCTGTTTATATAAGAAACAATTTAAATGTGTTAATATTTATCTTAATACTTCGTGAACGTATAGTCTAGTGGGATAACGCGTCTAGTTTAAATTAAATTTGTTAAGATTAATTTTCAGGTTCAATGGTATACATAAGTAGATAAATAACCCTCGACACGCTATCCAACTAAACTATACGTTCACATTTTTTTCTGTTTTTTTCTTTTTTAACCTCTTCAGTTTTAGTATATAACATGTGCGAGCAAAAAATTACTGTTAGTTTAAGCTATACTTCCATAGTGTTTATATTCATTTTTTTTTTTTTTTTTAAATAATCGTATAAATATTAATTTGAAAATCGTTTTATATTTTCAAAGAACTTATCGTTATATAATATGAATCCACCAGTCGTTGTATCAAAATCAGTGTTCGATATCCGTCCTTTTGGATAGAAAAGTGTAACAGTTGGACTTTTGATTAAAAAACAGATTTCAATTATTATATTATTAGAATGTAAATTAACTAAAAAAATTGTTACGTTAGACCTAGATCAGTGGTGTACATTAATGTGTGAAAATAATTATAACCCAATTATTGATAATTTACATACCCGATGTAAACGTGTTAAAATAGCTGACAACTTTTTCTATTCCGTTAATGTTAACCAATCGACTATTGTTTTATATTCTAATAATAATTATATAACATTATCTCACGTTGATTTACATTGTTTAAAACAATTACAACATTGTATCGACTTGTATATTGTTGAAAAACAAAAGAAGTTGGAATCATACCAAAAAACATTTGATACAGCATATGCGTTGATAAAGGCCGACGTCAATGGATTACCATCGTCTTGTCAACGAAATTAATTTACAAACCAATATATTCAAAATTATGATTTTAGTTATAGCAATATTCAAAGTGATGATATTTCATTCATGTACGAATTGTTGCAATTTCATTTTAATTCATTATCAAATATGATTTTGCAAGATTTGGTAATGTAATAAAAATTAAAACCTTTAGATTTAATACTCATATTTTTTGTTTGCTAAAATTTTTTTATAAAAAATGTTCATTTTATAATTATTACTACTTTTATACTGTATTCATATTTATTATATTATATTAAACTTAATATATTTTTTGTTTTTTTTTTCAATTTTTAAACGTACTATTTTATTTTTATTTAAATAAATAAAAAAAATGATAATTCAAGTTTTTTATTCTTATTTTTATTTACCGTCATCATGATTAATACACATATATATATAAATTATTTTGAAAAAACGTTTTGTATAATTTTTTTTATTTGGGTCTTTCATAAAACGATCAAAGAGCGTTTGAACAATTTCATTCAGCTCTCCTAAAACATTCTGATCTTTCGACTGGTCTGTTATCGCTAGTTTTAATGAACATTCTGCATGTTTCCACCTAAAATCACATAAATGTATTCTATCATATTTGACATAAATATACACTAACTTTATTTCAAAGTAAATAAAAAGAAAAAAAAATATTCATTTATATATATGTTACCTGTCTTTAGCATCAATATCAGTGGCGTGGCGTGGGTTGTGAGTGAGTGTAAGCAGTGGTACATTTTAATTACACCCCCCTCCCACCACACACACAAACACTGATACATACAAATTACAAGTTAATTTAGTTATACATTTTACAATTTCATTAAAAAAAAAAAACACATCATAAATAATAAAAACATTTTATTTATATATCAAATCGATTCTTCTTGTTTTTTTAGTGAAATCATCAATTACATTATCATAAAATGAATTTTGGTTTTGAATTGTGGTTAAAAATCACTTTTCAATTGTCAAAAGAGACAGATCTGAAAGTCTATTTTGGGACTGGGAGTTTCTGAGATGTGTCTTTATTTTTTTTAAGCAGGAAAATGAGCGTTCAGCTCCTGCACTTGTGGCTGGAATGGTTACAATCAATGATGCTAATTTTGTAATCTGTGGTAGGCTATCTGATAAGTCAGTAGATTTGAGATACAACCAAAGTTCATGAATGTTTGCTTTATGAAATTCAGTTGATGAGTATATAATAGAAAGTTCACTTCGTAGAATTGCAAAATCAAAATATTCATCATATTTATCTTTTAACGAATCCATTGCATTTGTAGGTAATTTGTTGATATACTGCTCAAATTTTGAAAAATCCAATTAAGAAAAAAAAGTTAGTTAAGTTATCTCTGTAAATCTTTCATTAGTTTTTGAAATTAATACGTCGATGATTTCAAAATAGAGCCTTCGGTAATTTGTTTTTCTATCTACAGATACTTCAGCCACTCTATGCCTTTTTGATCTTAACGGTGAATCTGTATGATACTGTTCCGATTTCAACCAAACACGATCAAAATCATTGTTCATATTATTTAAATGGTTTAAAAAATCAAATATTTTTTTATTACAATAAGTCACATCAAATATTTTTGTTTGAATTATATTAAAAAGTATTGTTGCTTGAGGTAAAATATTTCCAAATATTATAAGGAAAAAATTGAAGTCAAAATCTTGAATTGTTTGACAAAATCCTTTAGCGCACAATAATGATTCGCTGTCCCATTTTTCACCATTTTCTACGATTGAGTTCATGAGATTTAAAACTTCTTCTCTGTAATCAGACATCATTTCAATAAGTCTACTATTATAATTCCATCGTGTTGGAGCCACAGACGGAAATCTCTTTTTGACTTCTTGATCAAGTACATGAATTCTTTTTGTTGATTTTGAAAAAAATGATGAAAGACCAGAGAGCGTGGTAAAAAATATTTTACATTCCTTTATATAATCAACAGATTGTTTTAATATTAAATTTAGTTTATGAGCATAACGATGTACAAATATCGGGTTTTTACATTTTGAACGAACTAATGTCTGTAAACCGTTATGCTGTCCTGACATGACGGCAGCCCCGTCACGAGTCTGTGCCACTAATTTATCTACGCATTTATATTCATTTAATAAACGAAAAACATGCTCAGCTAAACACTTAGCAGAGCGATTATGACTGACATCTACAAATCCCAAAAGTCTTTCTTCTACCCCTTCATTAGTCACATATCGTAAAATTGTAGATTACTGAGATTTGGACATAATATCTGTTGTTTCATCCATAATTATAGAAACAAAATTTGTATGTTCAATTTCGTTTTTTATAGTTTTTAATAAAACATTAGAAATCGATTGAATGAGATCATTTTGTATGTTCCCAGAGAGCCCAGAAAAAACCGTAGATGTCGATAGATGTCCACTTAATTTTGGATCGAGTGTACCCATTAAGTGTATTAACTCGACATAATTTCCCCTGTTGATAGATATAACTTGTTCGTCATGTCCGCGAAATGAGAGCTCTTGTTTTGCCAAAAAACATGTTGCATCAATTAATCGACTTAAGACGTACCTATTATTTTTAACAGACTCATTATGTTTTTCGATACTTTGTTTATATGCATCACTAAGACATGTTTCTATTCTAATATTACCAAATTTCTTTAAAGAAATTAATGATTTAATATGAGAGCGATTTATTTCGTGACGATGTTTTAAATTATGATAGTTGTTTAAATCACTGCAACCATACTTAGACCAAGTATTTGATTCATGCGAAAATAAAATACACGGCCAGCAATATAATTTTTGCGTTTTTTGACAACCAGACAACCATTTGTTAGTATTATAATAAGAAGGATTAAAGTAACGAAAATTGTTTTTACATTTTGATTTTAAATCCTGAAGTGTTGGTGTAGGTCTCCCGTTATTTATAATACTTTGCTGTTCAATAAAAGTATTTGATCCAAACGATTTTAATAGTAATTTTTCAATAATACAATTATTACATTCGTTATAACCTGAAGATTCCATTTTTCCATAAAACGTAGTTCAATACAGATACACGTCGTATTCGATGGTTTGTAGCCAGTGGCGTCATTGGGGGGGGGGGCAAGGTGGGCATTTGCCCCCCCCTTGTCATCAGAGGGCCGCTGGCGGCCTACTATCGGGTCGGTCGACCCGGCCGGCCCGGGTGGGGTATATGGTGCTAGTTTTGGGCCGCAAGCCCGCAAACATGATTCAAAATCATAAGCATAACATTCATTTCATTGCTAAATAAAATAAATAACGTAAATAATTATAAGGTATCTGACGTCTATTCTGTATGTGCAGATGTGACAGGACGAGCGGATAGGGTTCCCGCCTTCACTGTGGGCGCTGCTCGTATAAAATATATATTTATTAATATTAAATTAAAATGTTATCGAATAACTAATAAGTATATAATATTTTAGCATAAAACCCAGATTTCTGATTAATTATAATGCATGACCGGCTTGTATACGTCCGGTCCGGGCTTGTTGACAACTCATTGTTATAAGTTTAAAATAGAATTGAAAATAATTATTTATGTATCAGAGTGGGTATTTAACGAGATTAGTAATAATAAGAACCTTCCTTGTTTATTGGTTCACTGTTCGACTAGCCATTCACGCTTGACGTTCTTTTCAATTTTATAATTTATACATTTCGCATTAATTTTTAACCTAATAAGATTTTGACTGAAAATGAAGAAATCTCTTGGTGGTGCAGCTAAGGCTAGGGAGAGAAGAAATTAAACTGAACAAGTTGCTCATAATTGTTCACAAACATTTCTAGCATGTTTAATGCTATATCAAAAATCTTCAAACTGGAACCGCTGAACCTAGTAATATTAATTAAATTATAATAGGACAATGTGACATATTGGTCAATCTTATTGATATTATTATAACTTAGAGTACTTATTATTATATATAAATCAGAGTATAATTATATAAACTATACAAAAATTTGGAATGTTTTTAGTAGTAAAGTTTCACAACCTAGTCCCATATAAATTGAGCAGATGAAGATCATCAAGAATATTTAGTTGATGATCCTTAACCCTGTTGTGTAATGTTGAAAAATACTTGTTATTTATACATATTTAATAAGACAAAATCACTGATCATAAAATTTTAAATTTTTATTTACATAGTTCTATATTTAGGTGTACTATTTATGCTTAAATAAAATAAAATGTAAATAAATATATTTAAAACACATAAAAAGCTATCTATTTTAGATTGACGTAGGTCTACCAATTTAATTTTATATTACTACAATAAATGAAATCCCAATAAAATTAATATTCATGTCTTTGTGTTTATTTGTTTGATACTCATAAAACGATAATTTACTCTAGTAAGCATTCAATTATCGGTACCTAATGATTCTAATAAAAGGTCAATTTAACATTAGTATAACATCAACTGTTGGTTTGGGATTTTCACTTTTGATTCCTAATAAACGGTTATCTTTCTAAACCAGGATGATCACATTAAGCAGAACCCACTGTATTAACTGAATGTTACAATACATTTTAGTCTTATTTACTATTAAAATCAGATTTTAAAAATTTGCATTGAATAATATCTGTTTTAAATGTTCTGTTATAAATCTTCATATATTTGGTACTAATAAATTTTATTTAAGGAGGTACCTTACTCTGTATAACCATATTAAATTCTTAACAATAAATAAGTGATCATTTGAAAATACAATTACTTTTCAAGTTCAATTACCTTCAAGTATTCTAAGGACCTGAAAACCCCAAAGACATATCATTAAAAGTGATAAACTAGTACAGCCTGAAATGATATTTCCTGCCATCAATGTCGAAGGTTTTCTTGTAAATTCTATGAAAAGTACAATTGATAGAGTATTCAGTATCAAATGATGCGTTATTTTGTTTCCCATGTCGTCACTTGCTGCTAACCTGCAGCATCTGGACAAACTACAGCTCAAAATGTTTTGTCAACTATGGTTCTAAATGCAAAACTGGAAAGAAATAACGAAATTTTAGCTAAGCATAGCAGGTATGAAAGCATATTATTACACAGCGTTGGTGATTATCAATTAGTTCAAACAATAGTAATCATTCGGTAGCAAACCAATTAATTAATTTTAGACAACAAAACATTAATGAAAATAGAAATCATGTCCAACTTTTACTGAAGGCAGCACTTTATTTATCTAAACAAGGTTTAGCTTTCGTGGCCACATTGAGTCTGTATCATCAAAAATAAGGCAATTTGAAATATTAGAAATGTTTGTAAGTGATGAGATGAAGTTACGTTACAGTCCCGGTATGGTCACTATACTAGTCCATCATATCAAAATGATTTTATCAAATTATTGCTACATTAACAAGACAACATAAGCTAGGTTCAATTAATATGGTTTTACACTATTAATGGTTGATGAAACAAAGATTTATCCAAAAAGAACAAATGAGTTTTTGTTAAGATTTGTGGATAATGACTTTAACATTTGTGAAAATCAATTGGGTGCTATCACATGAAAATTCAAATGCTGAGAGTTTAGCAAATGAAATAAAACTATCAACAAATAAACTGACACAAATGAATTATGCCAATGTTATGATGGTGTTCCGTGATGAGTGGGAATTTTCAGGGGTTCAGAAAGAATACGTTCAGAAGTTCCTCATGCCATATATTCACTGTTATGCCCATCGATTGAACTTTATGTTTAGTTCAAACACTCAAAATATACCTTATATTAGTAATTTTTAACACTATACAAGATTTATATAATTTATAATGAACAGCCAGATAAGGTATGAGCTTTTGTTAAAGCTCAAAAGATAAAATCTTGATGTTATTAATTTAGAAAGATTGATAGACACAAGATGGGCGTATTGGTACACATCAATTAAAATTAATATGCGTTTTTCTGAATTGTTAGAAGTTCTTTCAGTTCTGAGTAATGAAGGTGATCAAACTGCAAGAGCTATTGGAATTTTAAATGAAATGTCTACTTTACCCTTCATATTAACCTCACTCTCCATGGAAGCTCTTTTACAAACAGTCCATTGTGCCTCTCTAGGACTCCAAAATTCCAATGTGATACAATCCGTGGCAGTTAATTTAATAAATAGTACAAAAGAGTCTATTAAACAAATGCACAATGATACTTTTTGGGAAAATATTAATAACTCAGCAAAATTAATTGCTGAAAAAAATGGAATAGCTATAGAAAATAGTAGAAGAAATCGAAGACCACTGACTTTGAATAAAAATCTTAATGACTTTTTTTGTGCAATCAACAATAGGACATAATTCTAAACGGTGCATTGATACTGATGAAAATTTACAATCAAACAATCCAAAATATTTGTTTTATATTGCAATTGACAGGTAATTTGTACTTTAAATAATACTTTATATTTAATAAGCATAAACTTTTAACACATTCAACCGTATCAACATTTTTATAATTTTAACTGTTTCAAGTTACTTTAAACTAAAATTACACAGTAATGTATGGCAGTTAGTGATAATTTTGTACTTATTTTTGTTTTTAGATTTGTAAATGAGTTGAGTCAACGCTTCAGTGACTGTAATAATGCTATTGTTTTAACTTGTTCCGTTTTTCTTTCCTCTAGTCCTAATTACTTTAATCACAATTGTTCTTTTTTAAATACCTTCCTTAAACACTATCAACATTTTAACATTAATAGCCTCTTGCTTGAATCTGAATTTCAATCTGCTAAAGCCCTTATACAAAATTCTAATACAAACCAAAGTAACAACAATATTTTTTCTATTTCCAAAATTTTAAACAAAATTCCTAATGCTTTTCCAGAAACTTTAAAAATCATAACTATCCTCTTAACTTTACCCGTTTCAACTGCTTCAAATGAACGTTTCTTTTCTTCGCTTAAGCTTGTTAAAACGCATTTAAGATTGACAATGGGCGATGAACGACTGAGTGATTTATTAGTGATAGCCGTGGAGAAGGAAACAGCTTCACTGATAAATTTAAATCAAGCTGTTGATATGTTTGGAGCTATGAAAACAAGAAGATATCCTGTCACTGCCTAGCATTTAAATTTTAAGCAACTTTTAAAAAACTATAATTAATGATAAATATATAATAATGTATTGTATCTGTATGTTTTGTTTTATTTTTTGTTAACACCATTTAACCCACATTTGGTGCAAATAGGACATAAATTGGGGTAAAATTCCCCTTAAAATATGTCATCATATAGTAGTTAATAGCATTGAGTATATATTGTTTACTCAATGCTTAATAGTTAATACTAAATACTTATAGGTAATATTGGGTATCCCTCTACATATTATATTTTATATACCTATGTATTAATTACAGTCATTGTTATCTTTCAAAAATGTGTGCTATTTATGCCTAGAGTAACCACAGTTATCTCAGATAACCAACTTGTATGTATAATGTATATAAATACAAGTAATATAACTTTGTAAGAAGGCTGTTTGTATTGAGATAAAAATGTAATTGTTAGTGAGCGGTTTTTTTTTTTAATTATGGGCCGGTCAAAACTTTGCCCGGCCCATAATTAAGGGTTAGTTTTTTTTAAATACAAAGATGAATTTATCAAAACTAGCCCTGACATCGCCCAAGCCTTCGCCGATCTATTTCAGACAAACAACAGTAACCAAAACCATACGAAATCCTTCCTAAAATACAAAAATGAAGTTGAGAACTCATCTGTCACAGACAGACTACCACAGCACAGTGAAGACTCATACAACTCCACTATCAGTATGGATGAACTCAACCAGGCACTCCTGAAGTGTAAAAGCAAAAGCCCAGGCTCTGACGACATCCCTTACATATTCCTACATCACCTGTCCTCCTTCGCCCAACAAAAACTTCTTCTAGTCTACAACACAATATGGGAATACGGATTCTTCCCCAACCAATGGCGCAAAGCAATCATTATCCCAATACCCAAACCAGATAAAAACAAATTCCACGCAGAAAACTACCGTCCCATCTCTCTAATTAGCACACTATGTAAAGTACTCGAAAAAATAATTAACTCAAGACTCATATGGCACTTAGAAGTCTCTGAAAAATTCAATAAAGAGCAATGTGGATTCCGGAAAAATCACTCCACACTCAACACTTTATCCAATATTCACTCCCATATATGTAACGCAGCCAAAGTAAACCAACACACAATCCTAGTAGCGCTTGACTTAACAAAAGCATATGATATGGTTTGGAGACAAAGAGTTATCCTCATCCTACGTGAATGGAACACTTCAGGAAACATGATTACATTCATCACTAATTTCTTACAGGACAGATCATTCCAAACAAAAATTGGTGAAACACTATCAACAACTCATACCACTGAAAATGGAGTCCCCCAGGGCTCAGTCATCAGTGTCACCCTGTTCTTAATCGCAATAAATAATATATTTGACAATATTCTTCCCCCCTATAAAGTATTCCATCTTTGCGGATGATTGTAACATTTTTTGTAGTGGTGCGAACATAAAAACAACAGTCGAACTCATTCAGCAAGCTCTAAATGAACTCCTCAAGTGGTCAACCACAACAGGTTTCAATTTCTCACCATCCAAAACACAAAGTATCATCTTCCACAAAAAACGTAATAAAAAATTATTCCACATCAATTTAAATAACACCACTATATCATATACAGATAAAATAAAAATACTAGGTATGACTTTCGATCACAAATTAAATTGGAACCCACACCTAAAAAACCTCAAAATAAATGCAAACAACAACATGAAAATTATGAAAACCTTATCTCACCACTCTTGGGGCTCTGATAAAAATAGCCTCATTACTATATATAAAGCAATTATACTAGCAAAAATGGAATACGGTGCAGTCATTTATAATACTGCCAGAAGCAAAATTCTTGATATACTAAATCCTATACACAATCAAGGCATTAGACTAGCCACAGGTGCCTTCCGCACAAGCCCAACTGCAAGTATTATGTGCAACGCTGGAGAACTCCCACTTGAATTTAGAAGGATAAAAGAAACACTAAAATTTGTAACTAAATTCTCAAATAACAAAACTCAAGTTCCAACCAGAAGACCTCTGAATATACGTAACAGTTCAAACATACCTCGCACTATCGATGACACGTATAAGACCATAGCAGATATAATGAAGTTCAAACCAATTATGTTTAACAAAATTATCTTCCCGTCTTCTCCTCCGTGGATGTGGAATATTAAGCTCAATACCCAACTTCTCGAATTCGACAAAAAAATTTCCTCAACCTCAACCATAATAAATAACTTTTCAGAAATAATTGAAATAAAATTCCCCCACCACATAAAAATCTTTACGGACGCCTCAAAATCCCCCAATGGAACCGGTTTCGCATTCATAGAAAATAACAAAACTTCAATATTCAAATCTCCTCACGAAACCAGCATTTTTTCCGCTGGAAGTCAAGCCATCCAAAATGCAATCTCACACGCGATGACCTTAGTGTCTGAAGAAATTCTTATAATTAGTGACTCCCTTAGTGCACTACTAGCCCTCGAAAATCCTTACCCCAAAAATGAAATAATTCAATCCATCCAAGAAAAGTTATCAAACACAACAAAAAAAATCGAATTTCTATGGGTCCCCTCCCACACTGGCATAAGTGGCAATAAACTAGCTGATAAGGCAGCCAACGAAGCAATAGCATCACCCTGCTCGGTACTAATAAATAAAATAACATTTCAAGACGCACTCACAAAAATAAATAAACTAACAAAAAGTCACTGGCAAGATTCGTGGGAGAAGACTCCACACACAAATAAATTAAAAGAAATTAAACCATCAATCGACCCATGGAAAACTCCCCCATCCTCGTCCAGGCACGAAGAAGTAGTTACCACAAGAACCCGGATTAGACACTCTCGCCTAACACACCTGCACCTCATAACAAAAGAAGACAGCCCGACCTGCGAACTCTGTGACAAAGCGCTGACAATCAAGCACATCACACTAGAATGTCCCAAGTTCACCAACTCCAGACAAATTCTTGGAAACCCATCAACTATGCAACAAGCACTTGGCGAAGATAACTCCAAAAACATATACAATTTTTTCAAAAACATAGGCTTAGCAAAATTAATTTAGTAAAATAATTGAATGTACATATATCTTATGAACTCCCTCTATTGTTAAACATAATGTGCCCCCATAGTTTTAAGATCAATACTCTATGACTCCTATTTTATAACTATTACAGGCTAATAACCTCAGGAGTTGAAGCCTTATTTAAATAAAAAAAAAAAAAAAAAAACTTTGCCCCCCCCCCTTTCAAAACCTGAAATGACGCCACTGTTTATAGCAGTATAACGAATAAACAATAAACAGTGTCGTGTCACACGGTAGCGTATGCATTATGAAAAGTGCTTACGAACTGTTATAATACGTGCCCCCTCCAATGACACTTTGTCTATGTCTCTTTGGTAGGCTCGCGTAAGCAGTTTCAATCCGCATTACACGGCGACGGTATGGAGTATTAACTATAAATAAAGTAATACGAAAATAAATCGCTAATAATTATTATGGACATCGATAATGTTTACGACGGTGGGACTGGTGGCGCAGTGGCCCGTACCAATACTTGTGTAAGCAACCATCAAACATGTTACGCACATCGTAAAAATAACTGATAACTTTTATTAAATTAATTATAAAATTATTTGACTTGATTTTATTTAAAAACTTTTTTCTTTTTTTCAAGTGTAAGCAGTGCTTACAGTGCTTACATGTACGCTACGCCCCTGATCAATATGTTCAATGTTTTTGGTTTTATAATGTGCCAACGTCCAATAATCGGTACATTTTTCATCAGCAACCGATTTAATAGTTACAACTCCTCCACTTTGTCTGATTGTAATCGAATTCATAACATCTTTTGCAATTTTTTCATTTTGTATTAATTGGGTAACTTTTTTTTGATAAGAAATATTCTATAAAATCAAATTTTAAATTTATTCTTTGAATATCTTATAAAATGTTATACTACTCACTTTTTTTGGTTTTTTTTTTAAACGTTTTTCTATTTTTCACATCTTTCCTTTTTTGTCCGGTCAATTTCGTCATCGATTTAATTTCTGGTTCCATAATTTCAACCTATAAATATAGTAAGCGATTAGTTAATACCTAGTTTGTTAAAAATGTTATGATATGTTATACATTTTTATATTTAAAAAAAAATTATTTATTATTAGTATTAAATATTTAAATTAAAATCAAACTAAGTCTTAAATATTGTATTTTATATATATATTTTTTTACTACATCACTTGTAGAAAAGCATTCTTCTTCATAATCACTTTTAACTGAATAACACGACATTTTTTTTAATTTTAAAATAAATTTAATAAAAAATAGAAAAAATTTCGAGTACAAAAATAAGAGACGTGAGGACGGTGTAGACTCAATGAGGTATACTGTGTACACTGCGTTAGCTAGTCTCCTTATATGCTATGTTTCCTCTTACACTCCTCACCCCCCAAAAGCATGATTTGTTATAACCACTTTTTTGGCTAAATTGTTATTCTCACGGATATAATTTAAGAAAGCACTCATGTACGTGTACGAGGTCTTCTACGAATTTTATAATGTAATAAACTATAAGTTGAAAGACCTCGGATAGGTCAAACCATTAAAATCAAAATATATGATTTCTATGATTTCTCATACTCATTCCACATACATGTTAATATTAGTTAGTTGTTATTGCCAATTATTTTTTTTTAAACATGTACCTGATTAATATAGTTCCTAGAACCGTTTTAAATACGTTTTATAATGTAATAAACTATAAGTTGAAAGACAACGGATAGGTCAAACCATTAAAATCAAAATATATGATTTCTATGATTTCACATACTCATTCCACATACTTGCGAAATATTAGATAGTTGTTATTGCTGATTATTTTTTTAAAAAATGTCCCCCAAAATATTTAATAAAGGTTATCTTAAAACGAATGACGTTGATGATCATAGAGATGGAAATTTGGGGCTATATAACTAGAAAATATTTTTTGAAAAAATCACCAGTTTTCATTGTGAATTCAAGTGAACACAAGTAAATGCAGCGGTCCACAATAGCAGACATCAGATTTATTTGATACCTTTTCGCAAACAAATATGTAAGTACTTATTGTTTCTATTTTTTTATTAATATATATATTTAAAAATATAATATCTCATACGGTTAAATATAATTTTTTTTTTTTTAAACATTATGGCTTTTAAGTTTTTAATATTTAATTGAATAGTACCATAAGTGGTATATATGTAATATAAAGTATGATTAGTGTCTCACGTTTTTTAAAAATTGAAGTATTACTTTTAATTTTTTTAATAGTTACAGTCGATTATTTTATTACATAATAGTAAACCGAGTTTTTAAAAAAAAAAAAAATAAAAAATATATTTAAACAGACTAGAGGAGGTTTTTTAATATATATATATATATATATATTTATCAAAATTATATTCTTTTTGAATATATATTTATATATAATGCTAGTATTGACACATACTTATAATTTATTTAATGTTTGATTCGTACTCGATTTTTTTATTCTCGTTTTTAAATAACAAAAAAAAATCTCTAATTTCAGAATAAAATGACACAAGAATATATCAACAAAGGTGAATTAAAAAAACTTTATTTTCAATTAGAAAAAAACAAGGTGTCAGAAGACGCAGCTGAAAGAATTAAAAAAGAAAAAATTAAATTAATTAATCATAAAATTAGAAATATATTTAGAAAAAAGTATTTTAGTTTAATAGAAATAGAAAAATTTAAAGTTGAGAAAAAAAAATTTTAGATGATTACATTTACTCTAATTATATTTTGAGTAAATGTAATCAACTGATATACCAAAATATATTCTTTTTAAAAAATATAATTTAACATAATATTCATAATTATTATAGTAAATATATCTTATTACATTATCTGTATTTCTAAATATTATAAAGTTTTTTTATTATTATTATATTAAAAATAATATATCGTCGGTGCACAAGAATAGTGACACAACTCAAAAATTGGCATTTTCGAGATTATTATGAAAATGCATTGCAAAATTACCATATTTTTATGTGCAAGAACGACATTTTTGATATTTCAAAAACTCGCCACAAGATAGCTGTAGTGTCGTTTTTCCCTTATCGCATAATCGCTAGTTTATAATCACGAAAAGTGACACATATCTAGTTGTGTTCCGACAGTCAAATAAACAACTTAATTTATTTTCGTCTAAATTGACACAAATCGAAATGTGACACTTTTTATAAAATTATTAGTAATTATTATTTTGAACAGTGACACAATTCGTAATAGGTCACTATTGTTGAACAAGTAAGAGTGATTTATATAATAATTTCAATACTATTATAAACTTATTCAGACTTGAAACGCTCTTCTTGAAATAATATCAGTGATAATTGGAGTTATGTCTGTAAATAAGTTTATCTGTTATCTTTATAACTATTATTATAATAATAATATTATTTAATATTCATAATATACTATTATGAATTATGATATTATTACATTTATAATTTTTTTTTAACTTTCTTATCTTAATGGCCTTGATATTAAATTATAAATAGATAGTTAAAAACATGACATCTGCTGGAAGGTTGAGATTACTTATGAAGTTAGTGAAGGTTAAACATGATGAACCCAATCTGAATACGGATATAGTTGATAACACTACTTTATACGAAGTAAAAAATGACGAGAAGTCTCAGTTATGGCCCACAGGTAATATCATAAACCTTTTTGAATAAAAAAAAAATGTAGGAATTTATTTTAATTTTGCTTAAAGCATGCGTGGGCATCGTAAAATTTTAAAATTTTAAAATAATTTTGTTTTTTGTTCTACAAAAGAGTGCGCCAGGGAACCTCTGCTCATTTTTTTTTTAAGTTTTAAATTTCTGAGTTTTTATTTTTATTTTTAGAAAATACATTCGTCAACCCTACATCTTCTGACGAGTTTATTACTTTACAAAATGTACCCTCCTCATATTTTGAACAAAATAACGAAGATCATGACGTATTAGAGAACAATGAAATAACCATGATTGAAAAATTATCATCACCACAGGCTGACGACCACACAGAAAATATACTAATGATTACGTAATGTCTGAGAATGAATCTATAGAATTTAACTGTACAGATGACAGTGATTTGGATCCAGACTATGGTGGTGAGAATTCCAGTTCATCGTCGACATCGAGTGATGAAGATATCAACGAAGAAACACACAGAAGTTGAAGAAATAGAGGAAGAAACGAAAGGCCAAACCAGAAAAGTGGAATAACCAATTAGAAAAGCATGCAGAAATCAAGGAAAATACACGTATGTCAATTCTAAAAAGAACCAAGGTTGTTGAAGATAAAGCAACAGCCATGTGCAAAGACAGCGCACCTTAATTGTAAAAAGTGACCGAAGACCAAACGGTTAACCATTTTCACTGATTATTGGGCACTAGGAGATTTACAGAGACAGCGTAACTTTCTGTTATTAAGTATGGAGTCAGTTGAGCCTAGATATAGGTATGTTCGTGAGAACAGTCATAGACAGAGAAACAGTGCATTTTATTTTTCTGTTAATGGTCAGAAGATAAGAGTGTGCAAGACATTTTTTAAAGCGACACTTTCCATATCTGATAGACCCATTAGAACAGTGTTAAGCAAAAGCAATGATAAGACCATCGGCATGATTGACATTGAAAAGCGAGGAAAACATGGCAATCAAAAAAAAGTTGATGAAAGCATTAAAGAAGCAGTACGTTGTCACATAAAATCAATTCCTAGGATGGAGAGCCACTACTGCCGAAAAGATTCCGTTAGAGAATATATTATTGAAGGGGACAAGACTCTAGCAGACTTACATAGGGACTACTGTGAGAAAAATGAGAAGCCACATGCTAACTATCTTATGTACTCTAGAATTTTCAATTCAGAATTTAATATCGGATTTCATCGCCCAAAAAAAGATCAATGCGAAGACTGCATAAGGTATCAAAATGCTCCCGAAGAGGAAAAAAATACACTGAAAAATAAATACGATCGACATCTGATAGAAAAGGAATTATCTCGCGAAGAAAAAAAAGCTGATAAAAATAGCGAAAATAAAAATTTAATTGTGGCAGTTTATGACTTAGAGGCAGTTCTTCAATGCCCTCGGGGAGAGGCATCCAGTTTCTACTATGTATCCGAAATTAATGTATTTAATTTTACACTTTACGAACTGAAATCAAAAAATCCTGACGTTTTTTGTTACTTATGGGATGAGACACAAGCAAAACGCGGAGCTAATGAGATTGGAACCTGCGTCCTAAAGTACATCGAATCATTGAAGGATAGAGAATCAGTCCAGAATGGGGAGAAGTTAGACGTTATATTTTACAATGACAACTGTTGTGGCCAGCAGAAAAATCGATTTATGTTGTCGATGTATCGCTATGCTGTAGAAAAATACTCGTACATAAATTCCATAACACACAAGTTTTTGGTCAAGGGACACAGTCAAAATGAGGGCGACTGTGTGCATTCGGTAATTGAACGAACTATCAAGAAATGTTTAAAAGCCGGCCCAATTTGTATACCAGCACAATACATTACATTAATTCGTGGTGCAAAAAAAACCGGAAGGCCCTATCAGGTCAATGAAATGAGTTACGACTCCTTCTTTGATTTGAAGAATTTGGCCGAACAATCTCTGATCGAAACCAACCTGAAGGATTCAAATGGCGAAGTCGTTAAAATAACGAGCGTGGCTATGTTTCGATTTGAAAAGGAAAGTCCTCAAAAAATTTTTTTTAAAATATCTTATTCTGAAAAAGAATTTTGTGAGATCCATTTGAAAGAAAGACGATCGAAAACAAGAAGTAATATCAATGAACTAAAACAGCTATATTCTAGTAAAGTAGGGGCAGAGGCTAAAAAACCAGGTTTACTGAAACTACTAGAAAAAAATGTTATCCCAAAATCGTATGCTTTTTTTTATGAAAATCTGTAATTTTTTAAATATTATTACGATTTATGATAATTTTCATTTATGACGTTCCTAAATTATAGATCAAATACAAGGCTGTTATTTTTTTGTTTTAATAACTTAATTTTTATAATACTTACGAAGTTCCTAAGTATAGAACGAGGCTGATTATCTTGTTATTTCGTTTTTATCAATAAAGTATTCATTTTTTTTTTATTATTATTTTATTTCTTTTAAGTTTTATGAATATTTTATATCTAATTATATAAAATAATCTAAGTTTAACACCAAAGCAAGGTTGTGTAATATTATTATGTTATTTCTGTTATTTAATAAAGGATTGTTTTTGTATTCATTTATATCGAAATTGTTGTTTTCGTATTAATTTATTAATGACATTGTTATTAATATTAATGTTATTATGATAAAATATCATGGTATGGTGATATAACGTTTTCAGGAAGATCGTCGTAACTCACAAGAGGGATGAAAATAGAACAATTTTGAGGTTTATTCTTAATGTTATCAATACAAACTTGTTATTGTTAGGATGAAAGGTAAATAGTTCTATTGATTCCAAAAAAATTTTTTTAATTTTAACAATTCTAAATCGTGATATTATGCTACACAAGAAAGAGGAAATCTTTAATTCACTATACTGGAAAATATACTTTTTTTAGTTGTGTCACTATTCTTGTGCACCGACGAAATTATATTTAATATTTATCAATCTCCAACAATTAAAGTTCAAAATATATTTAAATTTAATTACCAAAATCTATACATTTTAGTACTCATAATTAATATCATAAATAAATTATATAATGATATAATTAAATATCATAATTAAAAAATATATATAGGTAAAGAACAATAATTTACACAAAAAGAAAAAAATTTAAATGCTTTTGAATATATTATCATAGCTTACTAAAAATAACATTGCAAATATTTAATGAAGAAAATGATTTTTTATTTCTTATTCTATGATAAGAATAAGAACACAACAAATCATCACTGAATAATTTTTCAAAAATTCGTTTTATTGATCTTTTTATATAATTTCCCATTAATCTTGTTAGCTCTAAAACAGTGGTGCCCAACCCGCGGCCCGCGGGCCACATGTGGCCCGTTACAAATTTTTAAATAAAACAAAATATTCTAAAAAAAGTAAAATTATATTTATTTATTTTATAAAAGTAATAATAATAATAATAAAATCAAAATAAATGTTTAAACGTTTTAAACAAAATATTAAAAAAAAAAGTAAAATTATATTTATAAATTTATTTTGTAATTGTAAAAATAAAAAAATTCGGCAATCGTCATTATATTTACGCTTTTTTCTGTCGGACATTTTTAAATAAAAATTTTACGATCGCTATTACCTATGCACTTAAAAGAGCAGACTGATCGTCGTATGTATCTACAATGTTTACCTCAATCCATAATCTTTTCAATCAATAAAAGATAAGATATACACCATATATATTGTACACATATGTATCACAAAATTATATTATTAGATTAAGATTGGGATTATTCGTACTTTTATATTTAGTGGCCCGCTCGAAGATGATTATTAACCAAAGTGGCACGCCGAACAAAAAAGGTTGGGCATCACTGCTCTAAAACCTAATTTAATTGATTTTAAGACATTAAAATAATTATTATATTATACATATCAATAGTCACACATATTTAATTCAACTTACAAACATAGTACGAAATTCAGATATCTCAGAGCTTATTAATTTCATGTCTACTTCTTGTAGCTCATCATCATCACAAATCATTTTCAATATTGACCGTCCAATTAAACATTGAACTTCTCTATGGTTTTGTATAACCTCTGCTCCATTTAATTTTTCCATTTTTTTTTTTCAATATTTTCTACTAAATCAAACAGAAATCTATTATCATAACGTAGTCCAGCTATCTGTTTACCAAGGTCATCAACTTTAACCACTGAAAAATATTTTTAATTTACTAAGTTATTGTAGTTTTCTATAATTTATTCAAAACAAATATATAATATTAATAATAATATAATTACCTAATGATTCAATTATAGTCATTAATTGATTACTATCAGTCTGCAAAGGTTGGAAAGCCTCTATTTCTGTAAAATAAAAAGTATACCAAACATATTCTAATAAATTTAATAAAAACTCTATATATTTAAACAATATGAAACCATTTTATAATACATTCTTTAATATGCTATCTATTACAACTTTGGCGGTATTGCTATACAGAGGATAAATGTTTTCTATCAAAAATAAAAATTTAAGAACTGAGTTTAAAAAGGAATAAAACAGAATTATTTATAAAATAGAAATTTACTAAAAATATGTTTAATTTAGTAGAACATATAACTTATAACATGGAATTAGGAAAATATTTTATGAGTATAATATTAAAATAATAATTATAAAAATTATATCAAGGCTGACTTTAAAATTCAGCATATAATATTATAATATAATTAATAATTAAAATATTATGTAGTACCTTCATTGTTCATTTTTTTTTGGTTTATATTTATATTATTGTCAACATTTCCAATCTCGAAACCAATACTAGAATTAGACGGTGATAATATGGGTTTCTTCAACGGTTCAGCATATGAGATGTCCTTATCTGAATCATCTAATAATTAAAAATAATTATTAGTTAAATTAATAAATAATTATATACTTATTATAATAAACTATTATACACACCAAATTCTGAAAAGCTTGAACTGTATTGAGAGTGATATTGTGGAATAACAATTTGATTTTTCACTTTTTTCATTTTTTTTCATGATTTTTATAAGAAGCTGGTTCTTGCTCTTTATTTTTTCGTTTTTTCTCTATACTTTTTTCGCATTCAGACAAATCTGATGTTAAGACAGCAGTCTTAGCTATTTTCTGTGCATCCAAATATGATCCTAAATAGTATAAACAGTGAAGGTAAATAAATTTTTTTTTTGTTTGTAATTAATATTTTTAGATATTTTCTATTTATTTATTTAAATAATTCACCTATATTATTCTTAAGAACTCTTGCATCAAATAAGTTAAAGTCAATTGAATTGTAGGGAGTTCTTTTTGCTATTAATCTTGACACACTAGCTGCCGTATGTGATGGCTTAGGCCAAGCACACTTCTTGGTTGATGCGCGAAACCAATATGATGGTACAGCAGAAACTGTGTTTTCTTCAGTGAAAACCACAATGGAATAAGACATTTTAAATGTTATTCTGGATATAACACATAAATAATTCCAGAAATAAATCTATAACATTAATTTATTAATACAAACAGACAAATATTATTTTTTAACTTATATTATATACAAAACAATAAAATAATTAACAGATAAAAATATTAAATTTAAAACAAGTTTGAAAGTACTTATAATAATAATCAATAAACAATTAAGACATTTTCAATAAATATTTTATGTAACATTGTGTAAAACTGGCATAGCAATATTATTATTATTTTCTTTATATGAGCAAAAGACAATGTACTTTTTATTGATATCATCTATATAGTAAAGTGTATAATCATCAGAGAGCTCCTTTACAACATAAGTACCAAATGTATTTGATTTAATTGGTTTTTGATAAAGTGGTTCTATTTTAGTGAATTTTCTCTCAACTACTGTAATTTGTTCAGTATTTAAATTTTTTACAATATTTTCTACTTTAACAATTTCATTATCAATTTTACCAAAAAAACAATCAGATACAGTGTCAACTTTTATAGTTATTAATTTAAGACTTAAAACCAATATTTTGTATTGAGACCCTTGAAGTGTTGTTGGTAAAGGACCATTAAATTTTTAACGCATTAATTTTATGTCCTGACTGTTATTTTTAGTAGGAATGTTTAAAAAAGTATTAATTTCAATTTCCTTGTAACGTTTCACAATTTGTTTCAGCGGCTTCTCATGTTTTCTTAACATAGGTTTAAAATTGTTCATAAAATTTTCAAATGGAAAACAACTAACGTTATCTAATGGCCCAAATAACTTATAATCCTCACATAAATGCAATAGCCCGTGTATGTTATGGGAAATTAAATGTTTGCCATAAATGTCTTGAAAATATTTAACAAAAGAATTTAATAAAAGTTGTGAAAATTCTATATACTTTGTTAAATTAGGACTAATTAATATAACCATAGCAATATGCAGACACATAAAATTTGTATAACATTTTTTAGATAAAATATTTTTCAAGATTATAGGACCTGTATAAATTAAAAGTTGGCGAAATTCTGTTGCTTTCCAACGACAAGCTTCTTCTACATCTCTTGGTTTCCTACAAAACTCAATTGGTATATAATTTTTTACTGAACGTAGATTAGCAGAAATCTGTTTTATTTTAGAATTAGGAAGACGAACAGAAAAAGATCCGTTCATCCATAAGAATATAAGTTTACGCATAACTCCTAAGCATGTTAAATGTATGTAATCTAAAGAAAACCGTTCAACTATATTGAAATTTGGTAAATCTAGAAGAATTGTGTTTACATTAGATACATGATAATCATCATGTGATTTAACAACAAAACTAGCATGTGTTCTTTTAGGTGACATTACATTTTTATATGGGAATGAAGTTCTGTTGCACAAATATTCCCCTTCTTGCGTACACCTTGAACATGAAGATAAGCCTGTGTGCTCTTTGGTTTTGGTTAAGAATGATTTTGCTAGGGCATCACAACAAAATGAAAATATTGTTACAGGAATTATTTGATCATTTATTTTAAGCCCATTAGATAATAGTGCTTTAGTTTCATTAACAAAATCATAAAGGAATTCATTACTATCTATTGGTTTACTTTTACCCCAAAATAAACCAACAGGGAATACATGTTTTTTTTCAAAACTATTCTCAGGTTTCACATATGCTAAAATTGGCCAAAGTTGGCTATTGCTACATCGTGCTATTGGAAGCCCATCAATGCCAATTACCAATTCAACTATGTTTGGAATATTATTAATAGAGGAATAATACTTTAATAACCACTCGGTTAATCCAAAATGAAAGTATTTCCCATTTGGGTTAACGAGGCGAATTTTATCAATGGTAACTTTATTGGGAGTTTGTAAAAGGGTTCTTGAATCTTTAGGAAGCATTTTAAAACCGTCATACTTTCTTAAGATAATTAATAAAGCATTTAAATGGCATTGAGGTATTCTACAATTAACAGCCCAATTTTTTATCTCAATTTTAAAAGTTTCAATATCATTTATTGAGTTTGAACAATTATTTTCTATAATTTTATTTGTTTGGACAGGTAAAAACTGTGGTTCATTTATTGTTAAATTATTATTTATGTTAAAATTGATTTGAGGAGACAAATTATTATTATAAATTGTATCATTGACACAATTTGTAATTGGTACAGGAACAGGAGTTTTATTTGAAGAAATAAGTAAATTATTAAAATTATCTGGTTGATATGAATTTATTTTCATAAATTGAATATCTTGATTCTGAAGTTGAATTATTCTTTCACGAGTACCTGAAGAAGCATTCAAATTATATCTTTGATACCCCTTGTTGATTTTAGGCATAATTACAGCGATCGATTATTAAATACCTACACTATTAACCAAATAATTTATAAAATTATAATATTTAGGTACCTAATACTCTGATAATATAAGTTATTATCTATTTTATATTATTTTTTAAATATTGCTATGAAAAATGTTAATACTACTTTCCTAGTACATTTTGACTTCCTAACCTTACTATACATATAGAGTATTTATTTTTTAAACAGACTTAGGAAATAAAAAATGTTTGTAAAAATAAAATTGTAAGATTCTTTCAACTTTTAATATATTAAGGTTAAGTATTTACAACTATTGATTATATGAACTAGTTTATATATAAATCAATGATACAACTTGTTATATGTTTAAATAATTTGTCAATAGTATATTTTAAAATATCACCTATAAAAGTTATATTATTAGTTATTAGTTTATTACCTTAAGTATATTTAGTTACATCATAAATAATAATATTAATTTAAAAATAAAAAAATGCTTACTGTTTGACAGATAAATACAATACCTGGTGAATCACTGATTAATATTATCTATAAGACGATATTATATAAATTATAATATGTAATTTATTAAATTACATAATTACTTACCTTTTAGATAGATATACTTTCTTCAAACAATAATCGATACTAACGAGTAACGACGCGGACAACGGTGATCGAACGAATGATTATAATTTATTAATAATATAGCTTAATATTTTTGTTTACGCCGTATGCACTTGCTGGTTCAGTTTGCAACACGACTTGCGGGATGTTTGGGAAATCCACATATAACAACGGAATGTTGTATATCGTAAAAAATACTTATTATATTATAACAAACAAAATAATTTCATCGTATAAACAGTAATAATAATAATAATAATAATAAATACAAACGACTTAAATGTCTTAATAAAGGTGGGCACCCATGAAATAATAATAAAATAATTATTTGTATACAATTACACTAAATAATATAACATAGCTAATGATAATTACAAGATAATTTTACGATACCGACACCGCTCGAACCCTGCCTTGTGGTCCGGAACGCTGGAACAATGATGATGTTGAAATGAAACGCCGCGTCACACCCGGTGACGAAAAAACACCGTGCGAGATTCTGTGGCGACAACACGCAAAAGAATCCGTTTCAACACGGGTTTTCTAGGACCACACGTTACACGACGCACACGAATAATATACGATAATTTCGAGGGTTTTCACGCGCGGCGATGCCAATATTAAATAGGATTATAGGGCGAACTCGGCACACTCGATGCCAGAAAACCCCGTGTGATATTCTGTGGCGACAGCACACAGAAAATCTCGTTTCAACACGTGTTTTCTCGGATGGCACGGTACACGACGCACACGAATATTATAATAGTTTCGAGCGCTTTTCACGCGCGGCGACGCCAGTTGCAAATTAATTCTAGGCGGATGACCACCAGCACGGCAACGCAAACATGCGTATTTTTTAGGCCACAACGCACAACGCACAAAAAAAAACTCGTCGATCACGTGGTCCGAACAAGACGCGCGACGCCTACGGCGGGCGGAAAAGACGTAGATCGTCAGACGCGGACGACCGCTGGAAAAGAACAACAGACTCAGCGATTAGTGATGTTAAAAAGTAGCAGTCACTGCTACTTTTCACTGCGACTTGCCATGTAGCAGTAACAGTGTCTGCTACTAACACATAAAATAGCAGTGATCTGATCACACTGTCGTTATCTGTGATCACGGTTAAACTGTGGAACTGTGAAAACTGTGAAACTGTTAAACTTGTTAAACAGTGAAAAATACAAGCATATTGTGTATAGTTTCTTATCACCTAACAGTCATGGCGCGGTATCACACAAAATAGTAGCCACTAGCCAGACGTACGGTTTGAACTTTGAATTTGAAAGTTGAATCGTACATGTACGTTAATTAAGGCTAATGTCGTACGATGTACAATAACAAAACTATTAATAGTATTAACTAATATCGTACGCTTTAATACGATAAATAAGACGTACAAGATTTTCAAAGAAGAATTGTATTTTA